GGCAAAAGGATCAATAACTTTTCAGTGTAAGAATGGAGAGCATAGAAAACTCAAGAAGTGTACTACATACCTGACTTGTGCAGTAACATCATCAGCCTTGGTCAACTATCAGAGAGTGGAGACGAGATCAAGATAAAGGAGCCATTTTTGTGGATACATGACAGAACTGGTAGATTGCTTATGAAGGTCAAGAAGTCCCAAAATCACCTCTACAAAATAGAACTTGAAGAAGTAACTCAAAATTGCTTGGTTGCTGAAACTAGAGATCCAACGTGGCTATGGCACATGAGGTTAGGTCATGTGAACTTTGCCTCACTAAAAGTGATGTCCGAAAAGAGTTTGATCGAAGGAATTCCCAAGGTGGTAATCCCAGCAAGACCGTGTGAAGGGTGTCTCAGTGGGAAGCAAACTCGACTCCCATTTCCAGCAAGTACAAGTTTCAGGGCAAAGAAAAGATTAGAGCTCATTCATGGCGATCTGTGTGGGCCCATTTCACCACCAACACCAGCCGGGAACAAGTATTTCATGTTGCTTGTAGACGATTTTAGTAGAGTAATGTGGGTGTACCTGTTAAAAACAAAAGATGAAGCATTGCAGACCTTCAAGAATTTCAGAACCAAAGTCGAAATAGAGACGGGTGAGAAGATGAAGATACTTAGAACAGATAGAGGAGGGGAGTTCCTCTCAAATGAATTTACTATGTATTGTAACGAGACCGGGCTCGATCGACACTACACATCACCCTATTCTCCATAACAGAACGGGGTGGTAGAAAGGAGAAATCGGTCGGTACTGGAGATGGTCAGGAGCAACTTAAAAGCAATGGGGGGTGCCAGATGCGTTGTGGGGAGAAGCTGTGAGTCATGCTGTCTACATACTCAACAGGGTAAGCACAAAAGACATAAAGGATTCTACACCATATGAAGTATGGACTGGAAGAAAGCCACATGTTGGCCATTTGAAGGTATTTGGGTGCACTGCCCACATGAAAATCGCTAAGAGCCACCTAAAGAAGCTAGATGATAGAAGCAAAAAAGTCGTGTATCTCGGAACCGAAAGAGGAACGAAAGCTCATAGATTGCTGGATCCTAACACAGGAATGTTGTATGTAAGTAGAGATGTGGTATTTGAGGAAGATCAAGCCTGGGATTGTGAGAAGACAACCAAAATAATAGCAATTCCCGGAATGAGTTTCACGGTAGAAGGCTTTGATTTGGATGATGTTCAAGGAGGAGAAGCCGACCTAGATCCATATTCTCTACAATATGATCACGGGTCAAATATTGATAGTAATTGGGCTAATGACGATGAGCCCACAAGTTCCCCATTGGGTTCCCAAGGAAGCCCACATAGCCCAACTCCCATAAGCCAGTCGGATACGCAAAGCTCACCCATTTCACCAATCACACTCGATTCAACGACCGCATCTCCCACCACCGCCTCTAGCTCCACAGGTGGCGGTGCACCACGACGATATCGTCTCCTCACAGATCTGTATGATAATACAGATTAAATTCATATTCCCATGGAAGAGCTTATGATGATTCAGAATGAAGATGAGCCCAGTACGTACCAGGAAGCGAAAAACAAAATCGAATGGATCAATGCGATGAAGGAAGAAATGTCATCAATCGAGAAGAATAAGACCTGGACCCTAGTTGAACTCCCAAAAGGCCGGAAAGCAATTGGGTTAAAATGGGTTTACAAGGTAAAGAGGGGTCCAGATGGAGGAATCTCAAAATATAAAGCAAGAGTTGTGGCGAAAGGGTACGTGCAAAAACAAGGGATCGACTATGAGGAAGTTTTCGCTCCGGTGGCAAGGATTGAAACCGTTCGGGTAATTCTAGCTCTTGCAGGGTCAAGTGGATGGAGGGTGCACCATCTTGATGTAAAAACAGCCTTTCTGAATGGAAGACTGGAAGAGGAAGTATACGTCTCACAACCCGAAGGATTCGAGAAGCAAAACGCAGCTGGGAAGGTCTACAAACTATCCAAGGCCCTGTATGGATTGAAGCAGGCACCCAGGGCCTGGAACACGTGTCTTGACAAATACCTAAAGAGTTTGGGATTCGCGAGATGTCATCACGAATATTCTGTGTACACAAGAAAGAAAGAAGGAAGAATCCTAATAGTAGGTGTCTATGTCGATGACCTGTTGGTCACTGGTAATTGTCCAAAGGATGTAAGCGATTTCAAGATGGAGATGAAAGCCAAGTTCGAAATGAGTGATCTTGGTCTGCTAACTTACTATTTGGGAATCGAAGTCAGCCAACAAGATACTGGAATAACTCTAAAACAAGAATCGTATGCCAAGAACATCCTAAACAAGACACGTATGATGAATTGCAATGCCACAAGAAGCCCAATGGAACACAAACTAAGGCTGACAAAAGATGAAGATGGAGAACCCGTGGACCCCACTGAATACAGGAGTATCGTTGGATCACTCAGGTACCTTACACACACACGCCCTGATCTCTCATACGCAGTTGGTGCTGTCAGTCGTTATATGGAGAAACCAACTGTGAAACATCTTCAAGCAGTGAAGGGGATACTCAGATACATAAAGGGTACTCTAAACTATGGCCTGTCATATGCAAAAGGAGATTATAAAGTCAACCTCACAGGGTATTCTGATAGTGACTTTGGTAAGGATTTCGAAGATGGGAAGAGCACAGGGGGGATAGCATTCTACATGAATGGGAATCTGGTAACTTGGACCTCACAGAAGCAAAGAAGCGTAGCCCTGTCATCATGTGAAGCTGAATTCATGGCTGCCACTATGGCAGCTTGTCAAGGAATTTGGCTTCGTCGGTTGCTCACAGAAATAACCGGGCAAAAGGTGCCACCAGTAACATTACTTGTTGACAATAGATCAGCCCTTGACCTGATGAAAAACCCAGTCTTCCATGGGCGTAGTAAGCACATTAATGTGAGGTACCACTTTATTAGAGAGTGTGTTGAAACAGGGGAGATTGTAGTAAGTCATGTGTGTGGCACGAGGCAGAAGGCAGATATCCTCACAAAGTCAATGTCAAGAGTAAAACATGAAGAAATGCGAGAACTAATTGGAATGAAGCCAATTCAGAATTAAGGGGAGAATGTTGAAGTAATTCAGAAGTTGTTAAGCACGTTTTTTTTGTTTAGGAAGAATAAATCAAGGCCACGTTAGAATGTCTTACCTGGTCTCTAGCTAGTAGTTAGTATTCCCTATTTTTCTGCATTTCCATTGGTTTAAATACCTAGGCATTGTGTACGTTATAATCATCTCTTCCAGTTGAAATAATACATTACAAAACCTTTGCCTAAACTACCCCTCTGAAAAACTTTCTTTTGTCCCCTGTTACTTCTCTTCTGCAGGAACCTGTGAAGAGCCTGTCAAAACCAACACCTTCTTGTCGCAAGTGTGTCCATTTGTTCTCCTTACTGTAAAAATCACCGCACCTCTTCCATCAGTGCTAGATCTTCCTTTCAGTAAACATCTCTCCATTCTGGCCATTGATATTGCTTTTTCTCTCTCTAGAACCAACACCACTTTTCTCTTAATTTGTGAAGAAAACTATGACTTTGGGTTTGCTTCCATGAGTTCGGGCTCTTCAATTCTTCAGCACTCTACCGAGTCCCTCCATTTTCCTTTTCTTCCAAAACCCTACCCGTATATCTCCATCAATTTTGTATCTCTACTGGTCTTTGGCATGTTTAATCCCTGTGTTATATACTTATTTTTCAGTATCAATGTTCCTCACCTGAGATGATTCTTAACTTTCAAGGATTATCTAAGATCTATGACTTTAACCAGTGAAATATTAAAATTTAGTGTTGCTCGGTCCTATTCTGTATACACGTGCGATAATAACTTTAATGGAAAGCCTCACCTTATTCTTTTCTTGTACATGAATTGCAGATCGGTCCTCTCAACAACACATCGAATTCCATATCCTGTTAAGTTTACAACTATTTTGTTATTCTGTGTGATTAAAGGGTTTTTTTTAATTTCTTGTTCGTTGGACTTTATTTGTAGGATTTGTGATGGTTTTATGTGCACACGCAACATTCTCAACCACACATCAAATTCGACCCCCTCCCCCTCCCTTTCACAGTTTGTTTCTTCACTTTTACATGCTCGTATTGTGTTTCTCTGATTGTTTTCATTTGCATGTTCATTGTTTCATTTGCAGGCCCAAACAAGTCAAACAAAGTTAGATGTTGTAAGTTTCTGCACAACTGTTTATCCTTTTTTTTAAAGCAACAACTAACTTCTATATTTCATTTCTTTAATCAGAAGTTTAATCTATGATGTTTTTTTTTTCAATTTAACATATAGAACTTTAGGATGCTCTTAATATTATGTATAAAGGCTTGACTGACAGTAGTCAAATGATTACACCCTATAAAAATCTACTTTAGAATTCGTTTGACTAAGAAGTGAGAAATTTGACAAAAAATCTACAATGTTGATTTGCTTTCAGAAGATAAAGTAACAAATTGAAGGATCTCATATCTGAAGGGATGGTCACCCATAAGGTAGACTTTTTGCTAATTACAACTCATTTTGACAAAAAAATCTACAACGTAGATAAAATGATTCTATTGAAAAAAGTTGCACTAATTCGTTTGTATTTTTTGGTAATTCATTTTTATTTATCTCTTCAACCTTTATTGTTTAATCCATACATCAGTTTATGATTTTTTAACATCTTTTGATTCTCATTTTAATTTAGTTGTTACAGGTTTTGAAGCTTGCTTTGAGGCATAATGATTTAGCGATTTTGAGCATGTTTTGAACATCTTATCTTTCTTTCTGACACTATCATCTCTTTATTCCATTCTTTATTTGATTTCTTTTTATTGTACGGGATTGGATGAGAAACTATAACCAAGGTGTTGACCTGATTTGCTATGTAAGTTGATTCTTTCCATTTTCTTATGTCACTTCTTTATGAGCATTGTTACTAGGTAGAACTTTAGAAACCATGGATGAGACATGTGAGGGCAGAACATTGTATCATTAAATTGGGAAATAATAGGATAAAAATGGGAATAGGGAGTGGGAATTGAAGAGTGCAAGTTTAATTATGGGAAAGTATTAGGACTGTCATGGCAGCAACTCCCTTAGATGATGACATGGAAACCAATAGGTAATAGTCCAAATTCCATGTATAAGACCACACGCTATGGGTCATAACGAGAAAGGAAGATGCTGACATGGATGCCCACAACGCCGTCATAACCAGGGGAACAACTGTCACACCCTAAAACCGAGAACGGCGGAATACGTTCTGGGGTGGAGCACGTCATGTACAGTATCATAACAATTGCATAATAGTAAAAACAAGTGACAACAACCATTGCATTAATATAGTAATTGTAAATACAAGCGTGTTCTGTATAGTTTGATAGACACCAAAAGTATAACAAAAATCAAAGATGGGTCTTGTATATGCTCCATCTTCTCAAAAACTGCATCAGTACTTGTCTATTTTTGACCTGAGAATACAAGTTATTTTGAAAACGAGTATCAGCATAAAGCTGGTGAGTTCATAAGAATTTAGTGTCGTTGCTTGTATAAAAGTGTTTACAATCATGTAATATAGAAGCTGTGATTAATGTTTGAAAATAGTAAAATCCTTAGAAAATCCTATAATTTCCAGATCTAAATATTTGTAAGTTTGATCCTTTGAGTGTATAAAAGTTTTCCCATTGAGACTCTCAATTACGAAAATAAGGCTATAGATTCCATTCATGTAAAGTAGATGAGGAAAGATAATATCTTATTTAGCCAGTTTTACTGTCGGCTGGATATAGTAGTTTTGCAAACTTCAATTAGTAATATATATACATATATATATATATATATATATATATATATATATATATATATATATATATATATATATATATATATTCACTTCGGGAAGTTATTTTAGCCTTTAATTCTTAGTGTGTTAATTTGGGTATGAATGTGATCTCTCATGTAACCAAACTTAGTGATAATAGAGTGTTCGATGACCTTCCCGGTTATACGTAGTGTAGCGATGTTTTGTCACCCTTGGGCCTAGTCGGCTCAGACTGTAGTTAGCAATCAGGATGTAATAGTGTTCGTCCTGTATAGATCTATACAAGTAGTGTTTGCTTTCCTTCCGGGAAGCTCTGGTTACAGAGTGTTCGCACAGTAGAGTGTCGTATAGAGGAATAGTGTGTCACATTTTGGATTAGTGTTTTCTTTTGTATTATAGTATAATGAACTTTTTAGTATAGTTTATAGAGTGTTCTCTTTAACATGTATTAACTCGTAATAGTAGTAATTATAGTGAGCATCATAGTGATAAGGGTAATGACTAGTAGTCTTAACTATACCTATTATAGTTAAATAGAGTGTGGGATTGCATGCCTTTGATTTTCAAATGTATTGAATTAAGTGAAGACTTTCATATCTAACACAAATATATATGATATATAACTAAGAATTCAACGACAATCGGACAGATAACAGTATATCCTAAGACCACAATCAAACAAGAACAGGAAGTATGTCGAGCTATCAGTCCTAAGTCCTTCAAGTCTTACTTATATAAATGTATTGGTGTAGATATAGTTTAAAAGAAAACAAGTTAAAAAAACGGTTTGAAAATATTTTAATAAAAATTTAACATAGAAAATGTGTTTGATAATTATTTAAAACAGTTTTGTTGACAAGTAGCTAAGAGTATAGAAAATCCTTTTTGGTTGCAAGTTATAAATCATATGTGATTGATACTATAACTTGTTGTATTCAACTTGTACCCCACCCCCCCCCCCCCCCAATAAAACACTTAAAAACATTTGAAAGGTTAATTAAGGGGTATGAACTCACATGTAGCGAGTGGAGTGGATGGAATGTTGGGTAGGATGCTAAGTGTCAAGTGAAGACTTGAACACGCCCACGGATCCTATGTAACATATAGTAGAATATGATGGTGTCTAATAAGTTATTTTTATCACCAATTTAGTAAGTAAAGGCCCTTTAGTGCATTAAAACACTTTGCTACAAGTGCAAGGAGTGCTAGGGGTTGCTTCTAAAGAGTGTATGGCCTCACTATGGAGTTTACACTTCAAGTGACTATCCTAACATGAGTTTGTGGTTAAGAGACCACCTCCCCATGAGTTCACAGTCGTAAACTCATGGGCATAGTGAATTTGTGTGTTTAAAGGTCTCTTGCATCACTAGGAAGGCTCTAAGGTCAAAACAAAGGTCTTAGGAAGTGATTATGGTTCAAAAGAGTACCCCCTTGGAGTTTGCGGTCCTTAGACCACTCCTTGGGAGTTTACGGTCATAAACACTAGGGTTTATGGCCAAAAACCTTGGGCACAACATTTTCTTTGTATTTTGTGGTCCTAGGCTCATTCGTACAATTTTCTAGTCCATTAAACATGCTAAGGAAGGAGTTAGGGACAACAAAACACCCTTTATGGTGTTTACGGTTTTTGTGTTTACGGTTCATGAATGTTCATGGACCATAAACTCATGTTTACTCCTCTAAAGGCACGATTTTGGGTTTCTAATTTCATGCATGCAAGTTTCTAAGTCAAAGATGAGCATTAGAAGGGTTTTGGAGGGATTTTAGGGCTTCAAAAACCCCCTTATTGGAGTTCACGGTTTTGGGAGGTTTTCCCCAACCGTAAACTTTAGTGTTTGAGGTATTTGGGTGACTAAATCCCGAATTTTCATGGATAAAAAGCTAAACAACAAACTAGGAAGGATTACTTACGGTTTTGGAGCTTGAATGAGGTGTTTCTTTGCCAAAACCCACTTGTAGAGAGAGAGAGTAGAGAGAGAAAGCTTCTAGGAATGAGAAAAGGTTCAATTGAAAGCCACTCAACCCTTATATAGGGCTTGAGTTGGCGGCCATGTGGGGATCCACCCCATACCGACGTTAAACGGAGTTTAAAATTTTACCCGATTAGATGGTCGTAACTCGGCTTAGTCGTAAACTAAAAATTTTCCCAAATAATTGTGACGGTGTTACACGTGTTTTTATTTCGTTTCAACACTTATGAAATAAAATAAAAACATTAATTTATTTGCCTAACCCAAATGTTAACGAAAATAATAATAAAATGTATTTTATTAGCGGAAATGGGTTACAGTGACGGAATAAATTTCAGGTTGTCACATCATCCCCCCGTTAGAGGAAAATTCGTCCGAAAATTTAGAATTCAAGTAGCTATGTTATTAAAATATAACTAAGCAAAGACATGAGGATATTTGAGTTTCATTTGATCCTCGTGCTCCCAAGTGAACTCCGGTCCTCGCTTGACGTTCCAGTTCACAATTGGGATGTGACTTTGTTTCGTTCGTTTGACCTCTCGGTCCATGATCTCCATAGGTTCCTCCACGAAGTTGAGGCTCTCGTTGATCTCGATCTCATCTAGCGCAATTACTAGAGTCTCATCTGATAGGCACTTCTTCAAGTTCGATATGTGGAAGGTAGGGTGTATGTTACTGAGTTCATGTGGTAG